CCCCTCCCCCCCCCCGGCGGGTGCAAGCCGCCGTCCACGATTTCCCCCTCAGTTTGTTTTTGCCATTTTTTTTTTTTTTTCGAACTCCATGTGTTGGTTAGTATTGGTCGCTGCTGCTCTCCCTCCCCCGGTCGTTTTTGTCGGGAAGGTGGCGATGTTGGACGAGATGCGCGAGAGGAAGGTGGCCCCTGACCAGTACAGCTACAACAGTGCCATCTACGGCTGCGTCAAGGCGCAGCAGTCGCAGCAGATGACCATGGTGCTCGCGCGCATGCGGTGAGTCAACGGGGGGTGGGGGTCGGGGGGGGGGACGTACTCATGTTTTCCGTGCCTTTAACCGCATGTGACACAAGATATCGCACCCCCTGGATCGATTTTCAAAGCCCGACTACTCCACGAACAAGGGAGCAAAGCTCAATTAAAAAAAAAAGCGGTTTCAACCCCGCCACTTTCGTCACCAACCCCGCCACTTTCGTCACCGCCGCTCTTTCTGTTGTAGGGTATTCGAGGTTTGAAGATCGGTCTAGGGGGTGTGGTGTTTTGTGCAATGTCACCTGCGGTAGTCGTGAGTGCCTTTTTTTAGCCAAACCACTATTTACTTGTAGAAGCGTTGCACGAAACAAGAATGCTACAGCATACAATTGTATAATCAAACCCATTGGGTCAGCCAGAGCGTTCCTCGTAGTTGTACAATCAAACTCGTTTGGCCAATCAGAGCGTTCCTCGCACGGTACATTCTCTGCAGGTGATGTGCTACTCCAAAACTATTCCACCTTACCGTTGATCGATCGCTCTCTGAACACGTTTTCTCCACGCGGCGCTCTTTATTTTCAGCAGTTGCTAACCGGCTGACCAATGAAAAGACGTCCGTCTTAGGCGGTTGAAAACACCAAATGCTTCTAAACGCCACTAACTGGGACCCCGTGAGGGGGCGTCATGGGGGAGGCTAAATGTGTGTTTCTTTGATTCGCATCGAACCAAGCTACATGTAGCCGACTGGCCAATGAAACGATCGTCAGTCTCACATGTAGCGGGCTAATGTTTGCGTGTCATGTGGATAGCATCCGCCACGCCACACCCGGCTGACGAAGATTTTTTCTTTCTTTTTTTGTTGTTGTTTTTCTTTGTGCTGCTGTTATCAGTGAGGATGGCTTCGACCCAGACGTGTGGACCTACTCCAACCTCATCCGCTGCCTTGCGGATTCGATGCTGTGGCGGAGGGCGGTGGGCATCCTGGACGACATGCTGCTCGAGGGCCGGGTGCAGCCGGACGCGCACTGCTTCAACGCGGCCGTCAGAGCCTGCTCCAAGGTACACTCGCCCCCGCTTTTAAGGACACTCGTCAAAAGGCAACTCCCCGCTTTTGGGACAAAAAGGGTGCCCCGCAGATATGTAGGATAGAGGAGGGTTGCCGTCCTTAAGGACACTTCCCGCCGATAAGGACGCTTTCAAAAAAAAAAACATGGGTGTCCTTTTAGCGGGGTCGACTGCTGTTTTGTCGTTGCCGGTACGATGTTGCTGTCATTTTGCTGTTGGCGGCTTGCGCTCTTGCTTGTGACCTGATTGTCGTGGTCATGTTGCTGTTGTCGGGAGCTTATGAGGCGCTAATTTTGCGGGGGAAAGGCCTGGCGTGTTCTGCACGGAGGAGTTGTACGTTGTAGTGGGGGCTTTTTTTTTGTTTTGGTCAAAACGAGATTTCTGTTCCGATGTCTGGTCCCCGTTTCCCGACGCCCCCCCCCCCCCGCGCGCGCGTAGAGTTCAGAGACCCCCTCCTCTTCGACAGGGGGCTGTTTTCGTGATACATGTCTCCGGTCTAACGTTTTCTTTTGCAAATGTTG